ATTAGCTATTTTTGTTTTACCTATATCGCAATCCGAAACCCATTTATTAATGGGGTACGTAAGTTTGAATTAATTGGAATTCGGTCTAATTTTGGAATTTTAGTTCTTAGATGTAACGAGCATTAAATACGACAAAGTTAGCCATCCTCAACGCTTCTAACATCCCGGAGAATAAACGAATACTCGGGAACAACTGATGGTCCGTCGGCTTTCCCTGTACAAAAACAACTGAAGCAACCCAGTTGCGCTTATAGCCGCTTCACCGGTCGTACCCGGGGAAAATGCGTGCATCATGGAACAACAGCTCAATAAGCAAGGCAATGACCACCGCCACCAATTGCTACGGATGTGGCCAACCAAACCTAACTATGAACGTATGACAAAGAAATTACGGGTACAAGAACCATTTGGTAAATAATTCAAAATACAAACGTTTACAGTGCGGTAATTGCTGTAGATTATTCTACGTATACATAACGTTTTAACGTAACGGTCGTACGACGTAATTAGACGTGACTACCCTTCTAATGTCGAACATTAACTCGATTCTGTTGGGTCTTTTTTGCTTTATTAATTCTAGAATAGATCATCTCGGACGTAATTAAAGGGATATATTCTACCGTCACTTGTATTAAAGCGGAATTGGATAATATTGTACGCCATACGTCGAGAGTAATGGGAAACAAAATTGCCGCTCTCCCGATGGTGCGGGTGTGTGAAAGTGTTACATATTTCAAGTGCAATCAGAATTACAATCGAAAAACTAAATTAAAAAGAACGTATGCGAACACACAAATTGGATAACCTTTATGAAGCTCTGTTTTTTATTTGCTCGCATTTTTTATAGGTTGTCCCATGATGAAAGTATTGTGTTTCCGTTCTCACTATTCTTTCCGCTCAAAGGTGAATTTTAAATATGCACGTATGCAGGGTGAAAATTTTGTTTGGAACACTGAATATGTCTTTAAAACAACTTTTTTTAAAGGAGCCATCCACAATTATGAAAAGTTTGCTACGCACTTTAATTTGTGACCAGTGGCGCACTTATGCATAGGGGAATTTTTTTATGGCAATCGATAGTTTTCATTGCATATTCTTAAAGATCACCCTTTTTTGGACATAACAGCATAAAAAGCTTTTTATAATTTTTGATACGATAAAATATTTTTTTTTAAAAACCTTGTTTAGCATTCCAGACAAAATTTTCACCCTGTATATAAAAGCCCGCTTTAAAAAGTTTCGTTTACGTTACATCTCCTTTTCGTTACCATTTCGTCTCCGCTTCGTTTTCGCTTCGTCTCAGTTTCGTCTGTGTGTCGTTCCTGCTTTGTCCCCGTCACATCTTTGTGTCGTGTCCGCATCATTTCAGCCTGTTCTTCGTCTGGTCTTTGTCTCGTTTACGTTTTTCGCTTCCGCTTTGCTTCAATTTCGTTTCCGCCATGTTCAATAAATTGACACAAACATCCGTCGAGATTTCTGCCTTTTGTCGCATGCGTCGATACTCTCTCATTGTAGTCAACAACCCTTCACGTAAACTACAAAGGAAGCGACCCCTTTTGGGTTAGCTAACCAGCAGAACAGTATTTTCTTTTAGTGAGTACTGTAACGGAAGCCCGCTGGTGCGTTTCATTAAATTGATTTTTCAATTTTGTAGAGTAATATGTCAAACGATTATATTTTTTGTTTTTTGTAGAGTAATTAAAACACAAGCGATTTAAATTCGATTTTAATAGTTGAAACGTTTTTCAAGGTGGTTCTTCCCAAGTTAGGTGTGGTCTAGATTTTTCAATGGGTTGTGCGATTTTTTTTATTTAGTATTAGAAAATATACAGGGTGGTTTTTAAAGGAGAGTTTTTTTCAAAATTTTGTTGCGTAAATTTGTAGGCGAAATATAGATCTCGGTTATGGATCTAACTGATATTTTTGTGTGAAAGATTGGTAGCCAACAAGTCGCGAGATAAGCCAGAATTAATGGGATATACATGATACGTATACGTATGGGTGTTTTAGAGCATCAGAACTAATATCTTCGATAATTCTGGGAGTAGAGGTTTCTGGCAGAGGATTCTGGCAAAGTGCTTTTCGAAAGATCCGATTGGCAAAGCTCTGTTGGGACGTATTTTTTTAAGTGAAGGTCGTAGAGGTCAAGTGCGACGGCGCGGCGTGTCAAAAAGATAAATATACGCGACGGGCTACCATAAAGATCGTATAGAAATTCAAGGGTGGGTTTTGCGTGGTTTGATGTAAAGTTAAGTCGACCAGCCGTAGAAACCATTGGGGGATACTGAATTCTGCATTACGATAGGAGGGTGGACAGGGTCCACCTGTATCTCAAATTCGAGCCTTTTGTACTACCTCCCTTACTATAGTCGTCCAACCCTCGACTTAACTAAAATCATTTCATACGTGAGATGAACCTAAGGAAGCGTGCCCAGAGAATATGGGCACGAGTAACTTCGGGTTCTTTCTCGATAGCCCTGTGCCAAAACGCGCCAGGCTGCGAGATAGTCCTTTGAAGGCTTCCCTCGAATAGCGACAATCTAACATCATGTTCCACTGGAACTGGGTTTGGAGTTACTTACAGTTGCAGCTTTAGGTGTGGTGCAATCACCTTTGCCAGGTTTGGGGATAAAGACAGATCTCCCTCCATTGTGTAGGTATGTATTTGAAAGCGATACAGCTCGTACATATTCTCACTAGGTAGAAGACAATAACATCCAGTCCACATTGTAGGAGGGCTGGCATTATACCGTTCAAACCTGGTGATCTGTATGCTGAGAACGATTTCATCCCCCAGATCACCATTGTGTCAGTAGTGACTTTTACGTTCAGAAACATTATCTTGTTTAAAAAAGAAAAACTCTCATTTAAAAGACGAATAAACGCATAAAGCGGAAAATGTGAAGTAAATTCGTATGCTAGTAAATAAGATCCGCGCGAATTGAAACATAGATCATTTCCATGGTACCTAGTCGAAGATGGTCCAACATTCCAAGGTTGGACGACAAAAAGGGTAGTTTTAGTAGCTGTATTACTAAGGTAAATCTTTTTTTTTTCATATGTGTTCAATATAGACCGATTTATTTAAGGCTATTGATGGGTCAGAATTTTGCTTAAATAGTAAAGAGATCCCTTAAAGATCCGATCGCTTCATTTTTAATCGATTTGGAAAATTCTATAGAAATTCCAGTGTATACAATGTACATATTGTATGAACCCAGTTAGAAGAAGGTAAACTTTCTCCATTTGAATTCAATACTAAGTAACGAAAATCTTCTAACTGAGTTGAACGTAACATTCAACAACGTACTGGGTATTTCAACCATAGAATTGTATCAACCGACCGTTATAGTGCACTGCATTTAAATTAAGTATAAGTAGGTTACTGAATCAAATTCTGTTCAATCTATTACACAGATTGAGATATCATATCGTTGTAGGTTTATAGCGGTTTTATATGCACCAGAATGAGAGAAGCGAAATTATTCTTTACGTCGTTTCATTGTGAAAGCGATGAGATTTTCTTTTTCCCTGTTACAGTATTTCCAATGTCGTAGTAACTTTTAAACGACTACACTAAATCCTCTTTACTTTTATTTATTCGTTATATTTACAAAATTCAGTTACTGGCAGTTCTTGCAACTTTATTGCAGTACTTAAATGGCCCATTTCCAATAACCCTCTAAACGCTACAAACAACAAATCAGTACCTACTGGCAAAGGAAGTGCGCTGAAAAAGATTGATGTCTTAATTTTCACTTGGAAAGACATCGCGACTTTTTCTGCTATTACCGTAAAGCACAAATTTCCCACGTGGACAATTACCGTAGGGTAGTACATTCAATTGTATTACATGCGAGCTAAGCAAGCGCAACTGCATTTAAAAATTAATAAAGGGAAGGTTACCAAGGAATTCATTAGAACATTGTGTTCCATTCAGGTGAATGAATATTTTAGAAACGTCTGGAGTTGATGCTCTCCATTAGCCTCACATATGAGTGTACCCGCTCCAGTTTCAATGCTAAAAGTAGCTTTATCTGAACTTAAATTGATCTTCAGGCACAAGTTCTATTAATAGTAATATCTGACATATCTTCCTGGTGCTAAAGTTTTACAGCCTAATTTCTAATTCCAGCTCAAGATGTGGAGATGTTTCACGGATCATCATAAAATAGATATCGATTTTGAATCAGTAAGGAAGAAACTGCAAAGTCTAACACACCTCGGCTACTAGAGTGTTACAGAGTTTTCTTAACAAACTGTGAAGACCGTAGGGTGGTTTTTGGAAGATATTCTGATGTGACCTTTTAGACATTGTACTTATGGCCGTTTGCACCGACAAATTTAAGCGGAGCTTAGCTTAAGCATAGCTTAAAATCCATGGCAACCATTGTCCCAATAATCGTTGCCACGCCTAAGCTAACCCCTACTTAAATTTGGCGGTGCAAACGGTCATTTGTATCGAATCAATGACGAGGCTCTCATTACCAAATTTTTGAAAGAATATTTTGAGAAACATTTGAAAATTCTCTAAGATACGGGTACCTGATTAAATTTAAAAGTCTGAAAAAGATTTTTGAAGAGGCCCTGATGAAAAACCTGTAATAAGGGATCCATAAAAAGCCTTGGGGGGGATCTTAAGAGGCGCTGTCAGCAGTTCTTAGTTGAATATTTATCTCTAAAGATCACTTAAGGATCTCCTAAAGAAAATGGAAAATTTGTTTTGGAACCAAAGACTTTCGCAAACTTGCTGAATAGCGATAGTACATTTCCGAAACAATCGGACGGACGGACGGACGGACAAAGTGGCCACAATAGCGCATTTTTTTTAATTTTTGTGGAAACGCGCTAAAAAAGAGTTAGTTTTCTTGTTATTTTAGATAGCAGTGTGCCCTTCATATTTGACCACCCGGTACACACAGTAACTCTTGACCTTCATTAATTTAGATTACTATAACACTTATCTACTTGATATCGTTTACGTACTTCAATTAGTATCTAGAAGCCGCATCATTATATTTCATTGTTCACGTTACATTAAACATGTTACCAATAACAAAAATACCCGAGAGTCGCATTAAGAAAACTATACAAATAAATTATAGAAGTGACTTAGAAGATTTTCTGATGCTATTTGGTGAAGAGCAAACGTGTCTACCGAGTATAACCCAAAAATTCGCAACCGAAATAGACAATTTTGCAGTGCGTAATGACGACGTAATCGTTGCATCGTTTCCAAAAGCAGGTTAGGAATTGGAGCTGCTTTATTAATAATTTTGTTTCTGGTGTAGGAACGACATGGACACAAGAGATGGTTTGGTCGATCAAAAACCGTGCCAATTTCGAAGGGGCGTCTTTGAATATCTACCAACGGTTTCCCATGCTAGAGTAGAAATTCGTCACCTACTGGGCAATCTTTAATTTTTATTTTTTAGAGCGTGTGGCCTACCTTCGCTGCTCACGACCGGAGAGCCCTTCATTTTGAATTCGCTCGAATATCTTGGCCAAATTAAAGGTCAACGGCTAATTAAGACCCACCTCCCGTTCTCGTTGTTGCCCAAAGACATACAACTGCAAAGGAAGAGTCCAAAGGTGTTTATATTACTCTCGTAGCCTTCGCAAAACTGTCTTCTTGTAGATTATCTACGTGGTAAGGAATCCAAAAGACGTTTTCATTTCGTACTTTAATCATACCCGCATAATTGATGGATTTAAGGGGAACCTGGAAGACTTTGCCGACCTCTTTCTGAGTGACAGCGGTGGGATCTAGTAATAAAAACCTCCAGTAAAGTGTGCATTTTAGTGGTTTTTGCTCCGTTCTGGAAACATGTCTTTGGATTTTACAACCGCAAAGACCTACCAAACGTTCTCATACTCAAATACGAGGATATGAAAAAGAACCTTAAATCGGAAATTGTGAGAGTGTCTCAATTTTTGGAGGAGAAACCGTTAACTGACGATGAATTGACGTTGATAGGTAGACGTTTGGATTTCAACTTTATGAAGAACAACCCATCGGTAAATCATCAGTGTTTTTCTGACGAGATGAAGCGGAAGAATCACCAGTTGGAAGGAGATTTTATGAAATCGGGATCAGTCGGTGGTTACAAGCGGGAAATGACAGACGAAATGGTGCAAAAATTTGACAGGTGGATTGAAGAAAATATAACAGACACAGAGTTATATGAGAAATATTGGTTTGGAGCCTAACATGATGTTTTTTAGCAATTAGTTCGATTCTGATTTAAGAAAAACTGTTTTAAAGGCAATGATGACTTTGTATCCCTTCCATAAATAACCCACCTTTCACTGGGATTGATCTCAGTGCTTCTTATTGTTTCTTTCTGTTCGGATACTTTATGAATTTTCATCAAAATTTTGATTATTCGTTAATAACCGCAAGTCTTTGATTTTTCTTAAGCAATAGCTTTACGATTAGCGTATTTGGTAAAAATGTGCAATATTTTATAAAATTTCAATTTTTTACAAAAACGCTTAATTCTTAATGGAAAACGTAGGGCTGTTTTCTTTTCAAACAAAATTTTTGAAAATTTTAATCAGCTTTCTTCCTTCTTTCTATCCTTTCTTCTTTCCATTCTTCCTCTCGTTCTTCCTTCCTCCGTTCCTGGAGTCGGGAGTATTGGGTATTGGGTACTTGAATATTTGACTGAGAATGTTGATCTTTGAATTTGGAACTTTAAGCAGTAAATGTGTTCAATCAAACCACCGAATTTTACGTATTGGACCCTAAGCCCTTAACTGCTGTAACTTTGGTCTCTTAACCTTGGTTATTAAAGCTTGGATTTGATCTTATGCCTTGAACCTCGAACTAACTTTCAACCTTAAACCGTGAGCTTTTAATAGTTGATCTTAAAGTTCAGACCTTATGGATCTTTGGGCTTTTGAACCTAGGTCTTTATTTTTTGATACCTTTGAAAGTAAGTAAACGCCAGCGCAATTTCGAAAATAAAATTTTCAATTCAACATTCAACATTCAAGATCAAGATCCAAGATTCCAGATTCAAAACCCAAAATTCAAGATTCAAGATCAAGATTCAACATTTAACGATGCACGGTTCCAACGGGGAGGGTAGTTTTTAAAACTGTTGCCAATGAAGTTCAGACTTACAGCATGAAACCTGAACTTGGCAGCTCGGCTTGAGGTTTGATTTAGATGTTTAAGGATTGAAGTAAGTTGGAAAGCTTTAGCTTGATAATTGAAGTACATATGAATGTCGAATTTTCCGCCTTCGATCATCGGCCTTCGGTTTTCGGTCTTTGGTTTTCGGTTTGCGGTCTTCGGGCTTCGACTTTGAACCTCGAACATTGAACCTCGAACATTGACCCTTGAACATTGAACCTTGAACATTGAAACTTGAACATTGACCTTGAACATTGATCCTTAAACATTGAACCTTAAACATTGGCCCGTATGAATAAAAGGGAGCATATGCTTATACTTGCAAAATTCAAAATAAATACTCGTAAATGCCCCTTCATACTGGTCTGTTTAGCAGCACTGCACTGCGTTCTGTCCTGCTGCTCAGAAGTGCTGCTAAGCCGCCCAGTGTGAAGGAGCACTTACGAGTATTTACTTTGAATTTTGCAAGTATACGCATATGCTCCATTTTATTCATATGGGCCATTGAGCCTTGAACATTGAACTTGGAACATTGAACCTTGAACATTAAACCTTGAATATTGAACCTTGAACATTGAACCTTGAACATTGTACCTTGAACATTGAACTTTGAATTTTGAATTGAATTCAAGATTCAAGATTCCAGATTCAAAATTCGTGACTCAAGATTCAAGATTTAACAATAGATGGTTTCAACGACTAGGCTAGTTTTTAAAACCGTTACCAATGAAGTTCAAGTGAACAGACTTACAGCATGAAACCTGAACTTCGCAGCTCGTCTCGAACCTTGAACATCGAACCTTGAACATTGAACTTTGAACATTGAACCTTGAACATTGAACCTTGAACCTTGAACACTGAACCTTGAACATTGAACCTTTAACATTGAACCTTGAACATTGCACCTTGAACATTGAACATTGAACCTTGAACATTGTACCTTGAACATTGTACCTTGAACATTGAACCTTGAACGTTGAACCTTGAACATTGAATCTTGAACATTGAACCTTGAACATTGAACCTTGAACATTGACCCTTGAACATTGAACCTTGAACATTGAACCTTGAACATTGAACATTGAACATTGAACATTGAACCTTGAACATTGTAGCTTGAACATTGTACCTTGAACATTGTACGTTGAACATTGAACATTGAACCTTGAACCTTGAACATTGATCCTTGTACACTGAACCTTGAATAAAAGGGAGCATGTGCTTATACTTGCAGAATTCAAAGTAAATACTCATAAATGCTCCCTCATACTAGTCTGTTTAGCAGCGGTGCACTGCGTCCTGTCCTGCTGCTCAGCAGGGCTGCTAAGTCGCCCAGTATGAATGAGCACTTACGCGGCTCTACACAGCCTGGTGTGCAGGCTGGAAAAGGGAATGTCTTCCGGGGGGATAGCTCTGGAAGCGTTTTTAGATATCGAGGGTGCGTTTAACAACACCACGTTCGATTCGATTAGTGAGGCTGCTGAGAGCTTTGGTATTGATGGGTCGATCGTAAGATGGATCCGAGCCATGCTCGAAAGCAGAGTCATTATATCCTCAATTGGGATGACGGAGATGAGCTCATCGGTTACTAGAGGATGTCCGCAGGGTGGGGTGTTGTCTCCACTTCTGTGGTGCCTGGTACTAGACGGGCTCCTCCGCATCTTGAACGAGGGGGGAGCGTATACACAGGGATACGCGGACGATCTCGCGATCGTCATAACTGGGAAGTTTCCAAACACCGTGAAAGAGCTCATGCAGGGGGCTCTCGAACAGGTGGATAGGTGGTGCAGTAGCCATAGCCTTTCCGTTAACCCGGAAAAGACCGAGGTTGTTTCATTTACGAATAGAAGGAGAGCGGATCTTGCTGGACTCGCTCTTCGAGGACGTCAACTGGGTCTGACCAGGTCAGTGAAATACCTGGGAGTCATCATTGACTCCCGCCTGACCTGGAAAGGGCACATTGAGCGCATAAGCAAAAAGGCCACTGCATGTCTATGGGCATGTAGAAGGGCTTTTGGTTGTACATGGGGCTTGAACCCTCGACTGGTATACTGGCTTTACACTGCAGTGATAAGGCCAATAATACTGTATGGTGCACTTGTATGGTGGCCTGCCGTGCGCAGGGTAACCTACAGGAAGCAGCTAGGAAAGGTCCAGCGACTCGCCTGTCTGGGAGTCACTGGAGCCCTAAAAACCACGCCAACCTTGGCCATGGAGGCACTTCTGGGCCTAGAGCCTTTACACTTAGCTGTGGAGGCAGAGGCTCGGAAGGCTTCCATACGGCTAAACGATTGGGATGAATGGAAGGATCGAGGCAGCCTTGGGCACGGGCGGATCTGGGAGGAAACCCTCAGGACCGATCCCCTCCTCGCAAGGAGGGACGTGATCCGGGCTATCTTGTTAAGACCAAAGCGTTATAAAGTCATTCTCCCGGATAGGGAGCAGTGGCTGAACTCGGATTGCCCGTTCCTCAAACCTGAGGGGCTCGTGTGGTTTACAGACGGGTCCCAAACAGAAAGGGGAACGGGCATGGGTATATATGGTGATCGACCGAGAGCCAGCGTCGGCGTCTCCCTTGGTCAGCATAGCACCGTGTTTCAGGCAGAGATGTTAGCCATCATGACCTGTGCACAGGAAAACCTCCGTAGAGGTTACCGTAATAAGCATATATACATATGCAGCGATAGTCAGGCGGCGTTGAGGGCCCTGTCGGTAGACATGTTCCGATCAGCTACGGCGCTTGATTGTAGGCGAACCCTAGATAGATTAGGTGAGTCTAATAGGGTAAGCTTGATTTGGGTGCCAGCGCACTGCGGAATAGGGGGCAACGAAAGGGCGGACGAGTTGGCTCGCGAAGGCAGTGGTGGAGTCTTCGTCGGGCCCGATCCTACCCTAGGGATTGCTCCCTCCGTTGTTAGGGCCAGGATTAAAGATTGGTTGACCAGTCAATTCCAAGCTCAGTGGCAACAAGTAACCGGGCTCCGGCAGTCCAAGGCCTTTCTAACAGGGCCCCTTGGAAAATCGGGGTCTTCTAAGCTTCTAAAACTGAATAGAAGCCAGATTAGGAAGATCACCGGTGTCCTTACGGGACACTGGATGGTCAACTATCACCTGCATAACATTGGGCTCGCGGAGGAGTCCACGTGCAGGTTCTGTGGCGAGGCAGATGAAACTACCGAGCATGTGGTCTGTCACTGTGACGCTTTGATCAGGGACAGATATCAACTCCTTGGAGACAGATACCTGGAACCGAGGAGGGTGAAGCAACTTAGGCTAAACAGGGTCCTATCCTTCATTGAGAGGAACGCGCTCTGAACTCAGTTGCGAAGAAAGGGGGTAGGCACAATGGGCCTCTGATGTGCCTAAGTGCTGCCCGGTCGGGCTCCCCTGAGAATAGAATAGAATAGAAATACTCATAAATCCTCCTTCATACTAGTCTGTTTAGCAGCGGTGCACTGCGTCCTGTCCTGCTGCTCAGCAGGGCTGCTAAGTCGCCCAGTATGAATGAGCACTTACGCGTGGTTACTTCGAATTTTGTAAGTATAAGCATATGCCCCCTTTTATTCATATGGGCCATTGAACCTTGAACATTGGCCTTGAACATTGAACCTTGAACATTGAACCTTGAACGAGTATAAAACGAGTATGTCTTTTCTCCATAATCTTATCCACAATAAAATCGATTGTCCTGATTTGTTACAATACCTGAACTTTTATGTTCCCCGTTTTGGTTACCGTGGCAATGATACATTTTACTTACCTTATTGTAATTCCAATATTTTGAAGAATTCGCCATTTTATAGAATGTGTAAGTATTGTAACATGTTTTCTAAAAACTATGATATCTTGTATTTGCCAAAGGTTCCATTTTTAGATTTTCATTGTTAATAATTAATATTATAAGAAATGTTAAATATTTTTTGTCTTTGTTATATAGTGTATTTTTAAATTTATTTATTGTTATTCTACTCAGATATTTAAATTTCTCTTTTTGTTACTTGCTTGCTTATTTGTTATATGAATTTTGTCCGTTAATTGGATACTCATCTGTTGGGCAAAATATACATTATTATTATTATTATAACATTGAACCTTGAACATTGAACCTTGAGCATTGAACCTTGAACCTAGAACCTTGAATATTGAACCTTGAACCTTGAACATTGAACCTTGAACATTGAACCTTGAACATTGAACCTTGAACATTGAACCTTGAACATTGAACCTTAACATTGAACCTTGAACATTGAACCTTGAACATTGAACCTTGAACATTGAACCTTGAACATTGAACCTTGAACATTGAACCTTGAACATTGAACCTTGAACATTGAACCTTAAACGTTGAACATTGAACATTGAACCTTAAACACTGAACCTTACATGGTAGCTTCAATTTTGGATCATAGACCTTGCTCCTTGGCCATTGATTTGTAGACTTTTTACATTGAATTTTAGAACTTAGATCTAATATCTTGGGTTATGAGCCTTAAACCTTAACTCACTTGGAGCCTTCCAGTTTGAATTTTACACCTGTACACCTTGGACTTTCAAACTTAACCTCCAAACCTTTAGCTTTGTACTTAGAGTCATGTAGCTTAACCCTACATTCTTGTACTGTGGACCTTGTGGCTTAAACTCTTAAGCTCCTGCGTTGTTCATAACTTGAACGTTAAAATTTGTACTTTGAATAATTAATTCTGAGTCTTGATCTGACACTCGCATCTTAAATCCAGGACAATGTGATAATTAAATTAGACCTTTGATTTTGAAGAATCTTGAATACCACTTTCAGCCTGACATCGGCCTTGGATCGTAAAGTCCGTAGTCTTGAACCTTTCGATCGTAAAACTTTCAATTTTAAACCTTGAACCTTGTAACATTGAATCTTGAAATCTTGAAACTCTGAATCTCAAATATTGAACATAATATTTACGTTTACTTAGTAATATGTAACACCCTTAGCTCTAAATAGTTTAATAAGCCAATCAGACCCAAGATTGGAGTTATAGAATGAATTGACTAGATGCTTGAGAACCACATTAAGGCCCAAACCAGTACGGATCGTCCAGCTCAGTGTTCGATATATTATCTTGTATATACTTATCGAATCTCGACACCATTTCGGGCGGCATTTCCAATTTGTACGATCCAATTGACCCGGACCGCATAAAGCAGCCCTCCTGTTGAGGATTTTCCCGCTTGAACACGTCGATGTAACGTTCATGATTCACCGCCTCGTTATCCTTCATGAAGTTAAAATCCAGACGCTGACATAACAACGTTAATTCGGCGTCGGTTAACGGCTTTTCCTCCAGAAACCGGCACACCTTCACCATTTCCGATTTGAGATCGCGCTTCAGGTCTTCGTATTTCAAGAAGCAAAAGTTCGGTAGGTCTTTTTGACTATAGTAACCCATAACGTGCTTCCAGTATGGGGCGAAAAATACTGCAACACAACTTTATTTACAAAAAACAATGTAAAATCCTACCTCTGTTATTCAGGAATAGTTGCGAAAAGGTTTCCAGATCGCCTGTGTACCCTAACATTATCCGATGGAAGTGATACATTGAGATAAAAACGTCCTTTGTGTTTCTCGTTACGTAGATGATCTTTAAGGAGAATTTTGCACAGAAAAATCTCCGATAATAATAAATACCTTTGGGCTCTTCCTGTGGCATCGTATATCTTTGGGCAACAATGAAAACGGAAGATGGGTCTTAATAAACCTCTGGCCCTTGATTTTTTGGAGATACTTGATCGAATTCAAAGTAAACTCTTCATTCCTACCATGTAAAGAGGAAAGGAGGCACGCTCTAAAAATATACTTTACAGAGTCGTCCAGAGAATCCAAACTCTTACTCCATCATAGGAAAGCGCTGATATAAATTCAAAGAGCTGTCCTCCAAATTGTGACGGTTTTTTATTAACCAAACCATCTCTTGGGTCCATGTCGTACCTTACACCATAAATTGTAATTAACCAAAGGTGCAGTTTTAGTTTCTCACCTGATTTTGGGAACGCCGCGACAATAATGTCGTCTTGAAGAATTTCAAAATTCTCTACTTCAGACACGTAATTTTGAAACGCGCTCGGCATTGTCGTCTCATCTTCCCCAAACAAAAGAGCAGAGAAGTCCTTACATTTTTCTTCGGCAATTTTGTCTATGCTCTCGTCAGCAACATGCGATACTTTCATCATCGCTGATGGAATTGGAACATGTGATCATATTTTGTGAAGTGAAGAAGATAACGAATAGATAAGATTCGCAAGGGTCTACACTTGACAATTCTTTGTTTCATTTAATTATCGCGCAAAAGTTTTTTATACGCTTATCATAAAAAAAGGTCCAAAGTTGATGTGCTGTGCAGAATATTAAAGATATCTTATCTTTTTCATGAGTTTTTATTTAATATTTTTCAAATTTTACTAAACTGTCCTAAATGTTGCTAAATTGACGATCATGCATCAAGGATAGAGTCTAAAAGGTCCATAGACACTAGACAGAGGATAAAGGTCAAAACCCAATGGTTGACAGTGAAAGGTCGCGGATCTACGGCAAAAGTCAAGTGGCATATGGAAAATGTCAACGGTAGATAATACAGGACGAAAGCCAAGAGCCAATGATTGTAGCTCGAAATACTTCAAGATTGAAGATACACTGTAAAAATGTAAAAGATTCAGGGTTTCAGGGTTGAAACTCCAGACCCGGAGCTCGAAAGCCGAAGTGGGGAGTTCAAAGTTTGAGGTTTGAGTTTAAAGTTCAAGGTTCAAGAATCTCGTATGTAGAACCTTGAGACCTTGATGTTTGGACCTTACATCGTTGGATTTTGAATTGGTGCGGTTTACATCTGCAATACTACTTTACTATTGAACCATGCCACCTTTAGATTTGAAACCTTAAGGCCCTCAAGCCCGGAAAGCCAAACTTTTAAACTTGCACGATGAACCTAAAAACTGGATTCTTTGTGATTTTAAACCTTGGATCTGGAATTGAGCTTCGGATTTCAAGTTTAGATACTAAAATCTTAACGTTCGAGCCTAGAACTTTCAACATTCGATAGTAAATGTTGAACATAGCATTTAGCATTGATTCTGCACTCTTTTAGCTTTGAATCTTGGATTTGAAGATCTTGGATTTTGTTATTAGGAATCTCAAATCCTGACGTCCTTAATTTCTTACCTTAGACTTTAACCTTCAGATCTTGAATCCGTGATCTTAGTGTTTTGGATCTTGAAACTATCTTGAATGTTGCAGTTCGGATCTTTAATTTTGTATCCATAAATCTTGAGAGAAAGTTTTAACGTTGTGAATCTTGAAGCTGTGAACCTTAAACCATAATATCTTGAACCTTGAAATGACAACGTTTGATCTTTGGAACTTTAGCTGTAGATGGCGATCCTTAATTTTTAACCTTGAACGGTAAGTCTGTTTGATCTTCAAAACCGTTCCTCGAAAGCTTCGAACGTCATACCGCGGATCTGTGAACCTTTGTTACGTTCACTTTGGGCAAATGTAACAAAATTACCTTGAGATAAGCACACGGTAAACTCAGGCAAAGTAGAGGTGGGTCGGGGTAAATATCAGGGTTCTTGTTCACTAGCAAAAATAAACAAAAGGGAAATGTAATAAGAGTAAACCGGATCCACTTAGTCTGTAGTCAATTTCAAAAGAGAGGAACGAATATACTTACAAAAGGGGAAACAAGGAAGGCTAAGAGATCCTTGTTATGGTCTTGATAAGCTAAAGAAATAAATGCTTAAAGATAGAACATAAACAATAATTGCCGTTACAGTCGAGAGTAATTTAATCAAATCATCTCAAAAGTATTATACATACTTTTCTTTCATACTTTCTCACTGTTGATATATTGATTTTTAGTAAAAAGTGGATCAACACGTAGTCAGACAAAATATTAGTATCAAAACATGATTCCGCGGAAAACAATAGAGCTATATAATCCTTAAGTGAATATCAAGCAAATGTAATAATTACAATTCGATTGTATCGAAAACCAGTATGTATTCAAACGTTAATCAAGGACGCGGCGAATTAAAAAAATGTACCTTTGAATTCTGGTCGTAGCGGCCGTCTGAATTCCGAATGGCGCGATCACAACACAAACAAATAAAACTGATAGTAAATCGGGCTGCACATAAAATATTGCGAAATAGAAATGTCTAACGTCTGACACGGAGGCAATCGGATATAAAAACTGTAATTAATACTCAAGAAGAATCAATAATTCTAATGACTTTACACCAGTAAAAGCAAAATTTTGACTCGACAATGTTAGTATATATATTTTTATTTTTGATTTATTTTAACTCTATTGTACAGTAAAATGTTGTTCTTGCTCTGAAATTGGAAAGTTTTTCTGTCTTTCTGTTGAGCAAATAAAGGATTATTAAAGGATTATAATCGAAATAACAAAATTTATACGCAATACCAATGTAATTTAATTAATTCAAAAAGTTAACAAGATAATATGAGCAAAATTTTCCGAGTAAACAAACAAGATAACCGAAAAAATTTGCTGTGGCTAGTAGAGATACCAACCGGACACCTGCGCATGCGCGTTCTTTCTTTTATGTCTAAGAATATGTGCACCAAATTTGGTTTCAATTGGTTTGGCCATTTAGCCGGAAATGAGAGTATAGACGGATCAACAGACCAACAGAAAGAAGTCTCAGAGTAACAAAGGTAATCGTCAACAGTAGCGATTGTCGGACGGTATTTTCTTCGTAGTAACTTACGTAAAATCAGACGTATCTGGGTAATTTACCAGATCGTTAACCTCCAAAGTTTTGCTTTACTTGCAGGTACAATTCCGGAACAAATATCGACATCTCCAGATATAAACTTGAAGTAGATCATGTAGGTAGAGCTGTTTGATTTCCCTGAAATGGCGGATAATTCTGCCAAGCCGTTAATGTAGAAACATCTATCGCGACGTTCGACACTGTCAGTCTTCCTAAAATAGCCAGTCCAAGTAAAAATTGCAATTTCATCCACGTTCTGCGTAGGTCGTAGGAAAAATCCAGGTAATCAACGTAAAAGGTAATTCAAAAGAATTACAGATGGGAACTTAATAGAAAATTGTAAGCAAGGGCTGAGCAAAGTTATAGCCCTCGTATTGTAAATGAAAATTACAGATCGATAAAAACGTTCCAATGGAGCCACCACAGACACCAGAAGAAAGAGAGAACCACTATAAAGATAATTATTGTAAAGCCAAAGCACTAGTCCCATTCAATGTAAGACGCGAAGTTAATACACGCAATAGTTACCAAGAGAACATTTATCATCTAACCAGTGCGAAAGCAGAAACATGACTGCGGGGAAAGAAATACAACTGCGCGAGCAAAATCAACTTAAGAAGAAGAGGTAGAATTCAGTGCAGAAAGGCGCGCACTCTAGCAACAAGACAAAGAACTAGGTAAAAGAAACCTCTATTACTAGGATAGCCTCTAAACTCTAACGGCACAACAAAGAACTATTCGAGGGTTTAGTGCAACACAAACGTAACTACAAATATTAAGTTTTGAGATATCAACGATAAAAGAGTTTTACTACACTTCTTATTTAATTTTTGGGGCAATGTTAATTTTAGCAAAGTAAAGCGCTTGCTTAATTGAAGTATCAATACGTAACATAAACCCTTATGACATATATTATTAATTAAAAATTATTTCAAGGCATTGGTATAATTTTTTTTTCAAAAAACACACGAGTTACGTTTGTATTGCCCTTACCACAATTATCATTTTCAGTATATACGTTCATGTTTAAAAAAAATTAGTAAAAAAAATTTATTTTTAAGTAATAAAAATCATAATACATATCCATTCTGATTCATCTTCACTGTCAACTGAAAAAAGTTTATTGTAAAAGTCGTGGTACTGCTGAGGTATGGTCTCATCGTTGCACAATTCTTGAAGATTTTTTAGTTTTAAAGGTTTAATAGGTAATGGTTCGTTGTAAATATGTTTCAACAATTCCAGAAAGCTCATTAATTCTTTCGCCATACGCTTTCTTTGATTTCGCCTTAACGTTTCAAATTTTCGAAATTCTTCATTTAAATCATATTTAAAGTAAATATGCTCCAAGTCATTTTTTCTGTACCGTTAAGCCATTGTATACTATTCCCATCGGTGTCAATGTTCTTATTTTTTACAAATTGCTGTTGAATTAACCCAAAATCAAAAAATTTAGATTGTCCCATCTCTATCACCTCATACTTCTTACGTCGGGAAGCCATCTGTATAACGTCATTTTTACACATAAAAGACACGGTTTCTATTCACTACCACTAACAACGACGTATTGGCGCGAAACACTCAAATAACCGTTTTTCGTTAAACCAGATTGCTTACTTATCAAAAATTTGTAAATCAACACAAACGGATGTCAAGTACGAACATAAGTCACGTTGTTTCGTTGTAAGAGCAATACAAACGTATCTCTATTTACGCTTCTTTTGCTCTAAACAAATTAATATTTTATGACATACGTTAGACGCTATTTTCCTCTATACTTAAGTTTTATTTAAAACCTGTATTGCACGACATAAAAGTGACCCTAACAAAGCGCAAAACCAACCTAACTCAAAAATGTCAAATTTGTAGTTACGCTTGTATTGCACTAAACCCTCGTATTATAATGAGAAACCTATAACGGCGAAATTAAAAATTAAGGTAATGAGAAATCTAGTACAGAAATTAGCTTACACCTAAAACTAGTGGATTACAAAGAAGATACCCAGATGGCGTAAGATAATTTAAATAAACGAGAGTATATTTTGATCCTCAATCTTTCACGTTTATCTTTTAACTTAGGCTTTTGTTATTCGATCTATTTTAGGCCTTTGCTCTTTGGCATTTGACCTTTATTGTACCTTTGATCTTCCTAATAGATAGCTATGCGTAGTTTTCCCTTTTGGGCTTTTGTGTGAAACTCTGTGATCTTTAAGATTTACAATTTTTTTAATTATTTTAACCTTGAACTTAAATATTGGTACCTTAGAATTTGATCCCTAAACCTTGATTGTGAACCTTGAGCTTTCAATATTGGGGCTATTATCTCTTGAATCCAATCATAAACCATTAACCTTGTACCTTAACTCTTGAACCTTAGATCTTGGGCGTTAAAACCTAAAATTTGGATATATTGGACCTTAAACCCTAAACATTAAATTTCTTATCTTGGACCTTAGGTCTGGAACCTAAAACTTTTTATTAGCGAGGAGTGGTTTTTAAACCTTTAGCTATAAACTTTGAGTTTGGATCCTAAATCATGGGTCTTAGATTTGGTGTATTGGATATGAAATCCTGAATCTCAAACCTTAAATCAAAAACGCTGGGCCTTGATTTCATGACCTTGAACCATAATCTTATATTTGGAGTCTTGAATCTTTTTGGCTGTTGAAACTTTAAATCTTGAATCTTCAATCTGAAATCTTATAACTAGAAACCTTGGAACTATAGACTAAGGTCTAACTTTCAGTCTTCAAACTTCAGACTGAATCATTTTGTCTTGAACCATGACGTTTAGTATCTTAAATTGATTCTACTCCAAAGGGCAACTTTCAGTCTTCAAACTTCAGACTGAATCATTTTGTCTTGAACCATGACGTTTAGTATCTTAAATTGATTCTACTCCAAAGGGCATAAGTTGTCAGACAATCAGTCATTTGACCCTCAACCCTGGATTTTGGAACTTGATTCTTGAAGCCTTTAATAACGATGACGGAATTTGGAAACCATGGATGTCGAAACCTTTTACTTTTTATTTCGGTCTTCAATTTTGCCACTTATATAATTTTTTTTTTCTCAATTTGATTTTGTGGTCTACGTCCAGAACGCTTACTTTCATTAAGCTACCATGTTTTGGCATGCAACAATTGGTTTTATTTCAATTGGCCTACATAGTCCGTAAACCAAGTTTTTCTTTCAAACCATCCCCTTTCCATGATTCCGTGATCTGACGTGGTAATGTTAGTTGGCCGTCTCGTGCTCTTACCGCATTTTACGCATTGTTTTGAATTATTTAGACTAGCACACAATAACGACTGTAAATTAGGCATAGTGATTAAAGTTATCTCGCGCTGCTTAAATGGTACATAATCACTTAATGATAACCCCTAACTTGACTGCGGTAAGATATTCCAGTTGGTACGCCATAATCATTGAAGTACGCATAATGGAAATCAAGGAGCTACCTAACAATGAAATAGGCGAAATCATAGAGCGCGATTTTGCCAGTGACCCACGTTTAGGTTTTTGCTTGTTTGGGCCAGAAGAAATTTGTCTACGTAAATCGTACAAAAACTACGGAGAAGAAATTGAAAATTTTTAAACTCGCGATGACGACATCTTTCTCAACACATATCCAAGATCGGGTATAATCGCAACAAAATCGAACTCTTTCATCTTTGATCGTTCCAGGTTCGACATGGGCACCGGAAATGATTTGGCTAATAAAACATTACCGGAAGTTGAAAGTGGATCTAAACCTGATTACTAACTGTATGTATAGGGTACATCAAAATTGCAGAGCCGGAACAGAGACCCCTTTTCAAAGCTTTGCATGTTTCCTCCAGAAAGTTCAAGATTTTTTTCAGAGCTTTCTAAACCTTTTATAAATTGGAGTAGATCATTTCTACTGGACTGTCATTGTTCTGGTCTGAATCATGTGCCTAATCTACGTCCACTTAAAAGTAACGTTCCCTAATGATCCTTCCATGATTCTCGAGAACTGTGTATCTTTCTCTCTCACTAGAATTTTTGCTTGAATCCTTAAGAGATTCTGTATAATATGCTTGCTGGCTCTTAATTTCAAAAGAGCTTTGGTTTCTATAACTTTTACTCATTTTTAAGGGAATAAGTCCACACCTTCCGATAAATAACAGGTGGTTGACTTAAC